AGGGAGGGGGAGGTTAGTACACTACAATTAATTAGGACCCGACGGAGACGATCTCGTAGCAGCGGGCCGGACGAGCTCCTCCTCCTGACTCTGTGTGTGTGTGTGTGTGTGTGTGTGTGTGTGTGTGTGTGTGTTGGAAACTGGGACTTGTAGTGGCGGTCACAGGGTGGGGGAAGATGCATGTGGGGCACAGGGTCCTGAGCTGCATGGGGTCAGCAATGCCAGTGCCCCATCCACACCCCCTCGGTACCATCGCTTCCTCACACAACAGCCCAACTTCCAACTGCCAGGACCCGCGTCCCTACCTGAGGACCCTCGGGCTGCTGGACCCCCTCTGCCAGCATTCATGGCAGCCAGAAGCATCAGGGAACTAAAGCTCCTAGAAGCAGCCCTCTGCCCATGACTGAGGGGGCCTGGTGAAGGACCACCCCAGCTCCCTCCCATCAGAGGAAGCCGTCTGAGACGCATCTCCCCTACTGTCTCCCAAGAGTCCCCAACAGGTCGAAGCTGTTGCCCACAGTGGTAAGTTGCTTGATAATACATCCTTTTTTGATTTCCTCCCCTTCCCTGTCTCACCTTCCTCCCCCACTTCCACACTGGGACTTTCTGAAATCACCCCCAGAAAAAAGGGGTCTGGGGATATGGTGGGGACCCCACTTTCATGATGACTATGGTCTATGAGGGAAGAAGTAAACCCTGTAACAGCAAGAACAATGTGAGAGGTGGGGAAAGTTACAGCAGTGGGACCCAAGCAAGTCTGGAGGCAGGGAAGGTGCCTCCCCGAGGAAGTGACCTTGCATCTGACCACAGTAGGAAGTGGTATGACACCAGTCTCCACCTGGCCCCCCTGACCTGCAACTGTCCTTCTGTGGTGTAATGATGACAAATGTGACAAGGGGTCACATAGCGCTTGGAAGAGAGATATGACTAACACAAAAATGCAAAATACATCCCAAATCACCAAGAACTTTTATTTTACTTGATATCAAACTGGAAGAGCAATAAAATAAACATATTTTCAATTCTTAAAACACTTTTACATTAGGTTACACTGACCAACAGAGAGAAAGCTGAAATCCCTGAGGAATTGCTAACAATAAATAAAATACTTAAGAATACGATGTCCCGAGTTCACAGGAAAATTTCCTGAGCCTGTTCAATTTGGGGAAGTCAATGGCCCTTTGCAAACTTCAGTTTCTCAAAAGGATATCCAACTGATGCAAGTTTCCCGTCATGACAAGAAATTACCTCTTTCAGCAGCATCTTAACATGAAAAGGGGGAAACAATCAATCTTCCTTCACTTAACTTGTCCATAGTTCCGGGAAAGCTACTGCACAGAGCAGAAAAGGAAACTATTTGTCCTTTGTGGTACCAGAATTTTACAATATCCCAAGTCAACGCCAGTGCTATTTTAACTTGTCATTAACTAAAATGTACCATTAGTCAGTGTGCGAACATTAGATAAAGGTACATAATCTCGCTGCTGTTTGTGGGTTACCAAAGGAGGGCTCAAATATTTGTGAAACAGTAAGATTGACACTTTAAAAATCCCAGGATCTAGCAAGGAAAAGACTCTCTGTGAAGACCCAGGACTGAGTACTGGCTTTGTTAAGTCTAAAATTTTTTTCAGGAATAGTCAAAATACCACATATCATTGATTCTAAGATGCACTCCCCCCCCACACACACACTTTATCATCTCAAATTCAAATGGGCTTGGCCATTAACGATCACAGTGTCAACTCCCCCACTGCCTTTCTCAGTGGTATATAAAGTAATGACATGTTTTACAATCAATGGCTTCTCAGATTAGATTAAATACGATGCCCTGTGGTTCAGTACACACACTGAGCCATATAAAAATAAATCTGACATTCACATCCTGGTGATTTTCCCAATTGAAAAGATGCCGGCAGAAACATTTGGCGTCTTAAATTTCACCATGAGCATCCCAGCCTCAGGAGGGGTTAGAAAGATGGTGATGCGGGAGGAGCTTGCACCTGACTTCTGCTTCTGTCCCTGATCAGATGGGAGAGCAGTGAGGAAACTGATTTCACACTCAGGGCCTCCTTTCTTCGTCTGCAAAATGAGAAAGTGCAATTGGATGGCTTCTAAGTCTTCCAGCCAAAAAGGAAGGTTTTAAATCTTAAATTCTAAATCTTGCACCACTGAGAGTGTGCGTCACTGTGGAAATTCCATAGCCATGCTGCCCTCGAGGCAAAGGAGCTTCCTGAACAGGTTGATGGCTCAGACTTCTCTGCAGCCATCCCTGCTCCCGCCCCAAGAGTCAAGGCTTCAAATTCAGAGTTTCCTGAATCGAGCAGAAAACACAATTTATTCACAACTTTAGTAACTTGATTGGGAAAGGATAATTCTTCGGTCTGGGGCAATTTATAAACTTCTTTTAAAAACTGCAGAACTCTAATAGGTTAAGTTGAACTAAATGTCTACCATAAATTTAAAATATTGAAAAATTATAGCAAGGGTTCACTTCAAAGTCTTCACGATTGACACAATTCCTACAGATTCTGCTGCTTTCAGTGCCTCCTTCAGTGCCACAGAAGCACCAGCCAAAAAAAAGCTTCGTTTTCTGAAAGACAAAAACAAAGAGATTTCATTTGTATTAGCTATTCATGGCAGCACTGAGATTTTATCCATAATCTCAATGTAATAATAATGTATAATAATAATGTGTTTGGCCAAGGAAAACAAATGGTGAGAAATGAGCAGGTATTCCAAGCGATGAAAAAATGGAATGTTAATAAGAGCATCACTTAATTGTAGATAATACATATATTTATACTTCATGATATGCGTATTTTTAATTAAAAATATAACCTGTTTTTGCCTAAACATGTCAGAATTAAAAATAGGAAAAGCAGCTAAAATCAACAACTGTAGAAAAAAATCACAAATTCCTAAAGCTTCCTATTTCAATTTCAATTCCAAAGGTTCATCTAAACTATTTAAAATGTTATGACAAGTCACTTAACTAAGTGATCAATGAAGGTAGACTCCCTCTTTAAAATTCTCTTAAATTCAGTCAATTATACATGTTGGATTTCTATTTCTTCAGCTGGCACAGACACTAATGAGCCCCAGTGAAATGATCTAACTTAAATAAGTTGGTATTAGCATCTTGCATTCAAACAGCAGATTCTTGGGCTCTGAGGAACTAGAGTTGTTGGGTCAAATGCTATTATTAAGCAACTGGAATATATGCTTTATCCAAATAGGTGAGGGAGGGAAGGACAGAGGAAGGAAGGAGAGAGGAAAGGAGGGAGGGAAAGAAAGGAGGAAAGGGGGGGAGGAGAGACAGAAAGAAAGGAAGGCTTGGGAAGAAAGGAAGGAAGAGAAAGAAAGAGAGAAAGAAAGGGAAGTAAAAAATAAAAGAAACTTGGAGCTGCTGATGCCCTGCCACATAGCCATCACTACCTGGTGTCCTAGACAGCAGGTGTCACCTTAGAATGCCAAGTCACTGATAGCCCTCGTTCCTGCTCTGCCTTTAAAATGGGCCAGGCCTCTTTCCATGAAAAAGAGAGAGGTTTATGAAATGAAGAAATGATGACTGGTTGTAAAGTCTACAATTTGTTTGCAGGTCAGAAAGTTATATACAGTAAGGATGAGGTTTTTTATGTCTTCCATATACATCATCAGGAGGGGATAGCTCAGTGGTAGAATGCATGCTCAGCATGCACAAGATCCTGGGTTCAATCCCCAGTACCTCCATTAAAAATAAAGAAAGAAATTCAAAAACAGAAAAATATCCATTATCTTTCACAGTGAAGTTCCTTAAATAGTAAACACATTTCTTAAGCAATTTAAAGACTTATGTGTAAATATAAATAATACCGCTTATTTGTCTAATCAAGATAATGATGGCTTCCATCCTAACAGCTTATTGGCCGTAAGTCACAAAGGGGGTGCTTTTAGAGGAGGGAAGACAAGTCATGCGTAATGTATCCACTTACAAGCACGTTTCAAGGTAGAGGACACAGAAGGAAGGCCACTGTGGAGCACGGTTGAAACTTGTTTGGTTTCATAAATGACAGTCAGTGTCGCCAATACCAAACCAGGACGGGTGAGAGAGAGATCTTAGCAGCTCCATTACTACTCCCTGAACCCACCCCTCCTGTCACTCCCAGGAGCACACCAAGATCAGGAATATGCAAGGGGGTCAACTCTTCAAAACAATTTTTAATTAAAGAAGTCATAAAATTTCATTGTAGACAAATCAGAACACACGGATAAACAAAAAGAAAAATTATTATCTGTTTAGAAAGACGTCCTTTCAGACATTTTCTGAAAAGTGCTCTTACATGCATGTAACCATCAAACCCCAAGATACGCCTGCTTGGGTTAAAAGAATGAACACTTCATGAGGGGTTTCATTCAGTAGTGCTGTTTCAGCTTCAGAGACATCCTTCGGGTTGTGAAGACTGATACTGACCTGGGGGCATGTTGCAAGCACCTGCCCGCCAAAGAGGAAAAATTATCTTTGCAGCCACGGTTGGCTGAGTAGTCCTGCTCCAGGAATCCTTATAGTTTTTAAGGGGCAAAACCCACAAAGGGACCAGCAAGACTTCCCAGGCAGGGCCAATGTCTTCCCACTTTTGCGCTTCTGTAAAATGGCTTGCTTCTAGGAAAACAAAACTTACCCCTCGAATTCCATTGGTTCCCTAAAGCTCACTCCTGACTAGCCCATTTCTAGCACCTCATTTGCATTTACCCTTAGAATTCAATTGGTTCCTGAAAGCTCACTCCTGATTGGTCCATTTCTAACTCCTCATTTGCATTTGATGCAAACTTGATCGAAACCTAACACCCTATAAAAGCCTGTGTAAGTCTACAGACAGGGTCCAGAGCTCGGAGTGTTAACTCCTCTGGGCCGCCAGCATAATAAACCTGAGTTCTCCAACCCTCTGAGTGTTATTTGGTCTCTTGATGGTATTCAGGTTTCTGTGACAGTTTCCTAACTAGTTCGGAGCAGTGATTACCTGGTGCTGGATGCCCTCATGTACTTCCAGAGTGTGATTATCACCTGCCTCATTTCTAACTTCTTTTCTCCTGACTTTTCCCCTTTGGGGAACGAGGGAGAACACCGGAGGCGAAGTTCCTTAAACAGTGAGGAGCAGGTGTATTTGTTTGTGGGTATTGCCTTAAGCGTGGGTGTGTAGTAGCCACGTAAGAGATTCACAAGAGCAAATAGAGTCACAGAATGATGAAGGGAAATATCCTCATTCAAATGGGTCTGGAGTGGTCTCCATCCCCTTTCAGCTGTGGGAGCCAGAGAGGCCATTCTGCAGGGGCATTCCCCCCCCCCAGGGTGCCTGACACAAGGCCTTCTTTGCCTGCAGTGGGATCATAACGAAACTTCACAGACTTCAAAAATACAATCACTGGTCTAAACGCAACCCAGTTCTGTGATGATTAACGGTTCTTACCATTGGTGTTACTGGTAGATCAAGCTGTAGTTATCAACCAAAGAATAATCAGGATCGTCTACAAAGGGCAGAGCACAGAGCAACATTAAGTGAACATTTTTCACAGTAAGATCTCAGCCTTTTTCAAATCAAGGCATTCCACTCAGAGTCTGGTGACCGCCCTTTTGTAAGAAGAAAAAATGTCTGGCACCAAAACCTACGAATAATAATCAAAACTACAAGCCAGAAAACACAGTGGAAATCTCTACTATGATTTCTTCGTCCTTTTTCATCCACGCCTGGATAGCAGTACCTACAGTAAAATCATCTTCAAAACTGGACAAAAATAATTCCCACATTATCAAGTGGTAATTACAAGGCCACAAGAAATAAATTCACTTAAATCCTTGTATGGTTCAAAGATGTAATTTCAGCCACTATATTTTTCTTAGTCACTAAATGTTTGCTCAGATGCTAAATGCAGCCTAAAATGTCTTGTCCCTCGAGCATACATAGATCGATTTTCTTCTATTCAAATAACAGGCACTTGTTGAGCTCCTACTGTGTGCCTGGTACTGTGTTAAGTTTTATGACTGATTCAGAGGGGGGAAAAAAGATACCTGCTCTCAAGGATCTTGCAATTATCCAGGGGATACAAACTAACAAAAAGTACTAAATGTGTGGTTCTCTGAGAAGTATTTTAGGAGTTCGGAGGAAAAAAGAGACTAGGTGCCCAACTATGGGCAGCGTATAAAATATGTAATACCAGATTACATGTTTTTAGACATCTTTTATAAATTATATTTCCATGTCATCCAGAGGAAATTATATTTTAGTTTTGCTCATTCTCATGAGCCAAGTTGATCTTGGCTCCCTTAAGTAAAAGTGTCTTATAATAAGTTCCTTTTGGTATTTGAGTAACTGAGTTCTCTTGGATAAGCTGTGAAATAGACCACCAATTATCAAAGTCCACTCTGTGACAAACAGTGTCATAGTCTCGAATATAGGTTCATTCTCTTGAAAATTTGATTTTATTCATTGCTTTCTTTCCCTTTATTTCGAAATTCTAGCTACTCAACCTGAAAGAAAACCTGACCGAAGATGTCACACGGTCTTTCTAGGTGGCATACCTGGTACAGTTTTAGGAACCGGGAGAGGTCCTCTCCTGTAAGAAATGAAAACCAAAGTCTTTCAGATAAGCTTTTATAATTTTTCTATGTTTCTTCTTCACTCTATAAGCATACTGCCCTCTGATCTGGTTTCTGCCCTGGAGGGTCAAGAAAAATTCAGATGAAGCAAAAACTCTGCAGCACTGACCTCCTGCATCTGGGCACAGACACTACGTGATGCCGGAGGGTAGGACGCCCAGAGCCCTGCCCTGCAGCCCAGATGGGCAGGGTGAAAACCTCAGCTGGGTGGGCAAAAGTTCCTGATGGCTTCGTACTGCAGCATCTTCACATGCACAATGGGCCATCAAACAGCTCTAACCTGCTGCGAAGGCTACAGGAACTCATTCACAGTAACTGCTCTGAATGGCTCTTGGCATTCTTCAACCCTGAGGATGGACGTGCACTCCCCCGTCAAACATTCCCTTATATTTTTAAAATCTGGACAGAAAATTTACAAGCTTAGACTTCAAGGTGACTGTATGTGAAATGGAAGTTTCTCTTCTCTCAAAATCCTTTATATCAGGGGCAGCAGACCTTTTCTGTGAAGGGTCAGATGGCAAATGATTTCGGCTCTGCTGGTATGGCCATGGTACTGAACTCCAGCAGGAAAGCGGCCACAGGCAGGATGGAGACAGAGGGCAGTCAGGTTCTAACAAAGCTCTGTGTGTGAACACTGATGTTGGAATTTCATATCATTTTCTCAGGTCACAAAATAGTATCCTTTCCATTTTTCAACCATTTAAAAATGTAAAAATTAACTTGCAGGGCCTCCAAAACAGGCAGGTCAGATTTGAATCACTGGGGCCAGTTTGCCAACTCCTGCTTTCCCCAGGCAACAAGAAAGGTCCAGGATTCGTACACAAGTGACAGTGATCACACACAAGCATGGCAGAGTCCTCCTTGAACTCTGATGAGTCAAATCCATTTAACATTTGTCCTAAAAATGCTATTTCCAAAAACCCAGCAGTCTGGCTAAGCAAATGCAGTGGTAGATGTGGTCTAATTGTAATACGGACGTTGGAACACTAATAATACAAAGCTTTATTAAAAGTACTTTGCTTCAGGTGAAAGAAAGCTGGATGTTACCTTGCCAAGTTAGGCCCCGTGGACTTTCCTGGTGGGGCTGCACTCTTCTGGGGGCAGTAGAAGTTCTCATACATGACGGGAGCTAGGGGGACCAGCAAGACACACAACATTAAGAGGCTGATGGCTTCCATTCTCGATGACACGTGACAAGAAGGACTACCAAAATTGTTCAGATAACACCCCCCCTCCCCTGCTCCATTCACCTGGTGGAGTCTGTCCAGTTTTGCGTTGATTCACGAAGTACTCAATGTCCTTCTCAATGCTGCACATTTCTAAACTCTTACGGACTTCTTCATACATCTAACGAGGAGAAGACAGATCAAGGTAGAGGTGTGTCCATCACAATGGCGACACGGCTTATTCAAATAGGAGGTTTGACAAATGACTGACTGTTTTACAAACTTTGTTTTGAAAAGGAATAAGATATTCCCAAGTCCTGGGCTCATAAAAAGATTTCTCAAATCAGTATCTGCTATTAAATTTTTTTTAAATGACAAAAAATGTATCTTTGTAGCAGCACAAAAGCCTAGGAAAGATTTTTTTAAATATTTATTTGTTTGTTTGTTTCCATCCTCCTCCATAACATGGGGCACTGGGGATTGAACCCAGGACCTCTTGCACACCAAGCACATGCTCTACCCTGAGCTAAAACCCCCTGACCCCTGAAAGGTTTTTTGGTTTTGTTAATACTGATGGGGCAAAGAAAATAGATGCCAAACCCCATTACCAGCTCCACAGACAAAAGCAAAGACAACTGGAGAAAAGTTCTTCCAATCAGTCCTACTTGTTTTCTGGATGTTTAATTATTCTTCTAAAGTGAATGTCCCGTCTAAGGGAGGATGGCTATTTCTTAGGAAAGAAGGTTGTGATAATGTGATTCTGGTCCCTCCAACATCTGGGAAACCCATGACAATTGCTGTGCATAAGTTAAGCCTGGATAATGACCCTGGAACACTGCTGGAGCCCTGGAGTGACCATGAGCCTGGACATGGCTCAGCCTGCAAGTACTTGGTGCTGTCCCCGAGTGACCCCACTCTGGACTGGAGCATTCTCTGGGGCTCACATGCAACATATGTTGTGACATCTCAGTTTTCCATAAATTAAGCTGCATTTGGGTCTCCCTTCTCTGCTCTCCTGCCCTAACTCTGAATTTCTTAGAGAAAAAGTCCTGGTGGTAAAGTAGACCCAGGAGTCAGGCAGATTAGGTATTTATCTGGGATCACATTCACCGTGTGGACTTCAGCAAGTCATTGTACTTATCTGGGCCTCAAATGATGGGGGTGAACTAATGAACGTCTGTGGTTCCTTCCACTCTAATGAATCCAATAGGCAGAGCATCCTCCGTGGATGCCTCTGACTTACATCATCGCTTGTGACACATTGTTGTGACAGCTGATTTACGTGTAACCACAGTGCATTCCGAAAGAAGTTTATTCGTTCACATTCCTGAGCCTCGAACACCTAGAAAAACATAACTACATGTACATATAGAACAGATAAACAAGATTATACTGTATAGCACAGGGAAATATGTACAAGATCTTGTGGTAGCTCACAGCGAAAAAAATGTGACGATGAATATACGTATGTTCATGTATAACTGAAAAATTGTGCTCTACACAGGAATTTGGCACAACATTGTAAAATGACTATAACAACAAAAAAAGTTTTAAAAAATAGAGAAAAAAGTAACTAGATGTTCATACATATGCAGAGAAAGGGGTCTTCTGTCTAGACTGGCTATGACTTAAGAAACAGTGTCAACCTTGAATTATCTGCAAGCTTATTGTCCCATTTAGTGTACTTCCCACCCCCCACCCCCAAGCTCATAAACTCTTACCTCAGGTAAAAGAAGGCAAATGGATTCTAATATCGGATGAACACAGATAGGTGTGGACACAGTTCGGAAGGCAAGAGGTCATGGTGACCCCAGACACCAATGCTCTACCCTGAGCTCCAGCTCACATTTCCAGCTGCCTCATGGGCACCTGTGCCGGGACCGCCTGCCAGAGCCTCAGATTCAGAAAATTGCCCTCCCTCTCACCCCATCCCTGGAATAAATGAATTCAACCAGCGAGATGCTCATAACTGTTGAAGCGAGTTACTGAGCACATGGGGATCCTTGCGCTTGTCTTCAGTCTTGTGTATGCTTGAAATTTTCCTTGATAGAAGTTTTTTAAAAAGTCATTGCCTGAACAGTAGTTTTTTGGATATACACAAATATCAATGTATGGAAAAGCAAGCTATTCTATCAAGTGGATTTTACACTACTCAAGAGTGGATGTTGTAATGCCATCTGCAGCAACATAGATGGACCTTGAGAACGTCATTCTAAGTGAAGTAAGCCAGAAAGAGAAAGAAAAATACCATATGGTATCACTCATATGTGGACTCTAAAAAAAAAAAAGACAAACTTATTTACAAAATAGAAGCAGACTCACAGATATAGAAAACAAACTTATGTTTACCAAAGGGGATAGAAGGTGGGAAGGGATAAATTGGGAGTTCGAGATGTGCAGATACTAACTACTATATATAAAATAGATAAACAATAAGTTTATACTGCATAGCACAGGGAACTATATTCAATATTTTGTAGTAACTTGTAGTAAGTTATGTTTCTATACGACTGAAGCACTGTGCTGTGCACCAGAAATTGACACAACATTCCAAACTGACTCTACTTCAATAAAAATATATTTTAAAAAAGAGTGGACGTTATATGTTAATGTATTTTTTAACATTTACCATAATACTAGTACATTTTGTTTTATTTTTATTTTATTTTTGGAAGGTAATTAGGTTTATTTGTTTATTTAATGGAGGTACTGGGGATTGAGCCCAGGATCTCGTGCATGCTAAGCACGTACCCTACCACTGGGTTATACCCGCCCCCATTATGCTTTAAAACTTTTTATAATGTTAAAACTTCAAACATACACACAAGTAGAGAGGGTAACACAATGAATCCCCACGTACCCATCACCAGCTTAAACACTTAACTCACAAATGATTCTGTTTTACCTGCATCCCTACCAACTCCCCTACCCCCTGGAATGTTTTGCAGCAAATACATTGTTTCACCAGTAAATATTTTAGTATTCATACGTAGTACATACGTACTAAAACATACTTTATTTTCATTATAGAATATTTCACATGGGCAGAATCTTCAAAGTGATACAGTGAAGACCCACGTACCAATCACCCAGCTTCGTCAAAACTTTGGGCATATTTGTTTCAGATTCTGTTAAAGCCTCTGGGTGCTGTCCCCAAGCTCTGTCACCTTCTCCTCCCCTAGAGATAACCATTACCCTAAACTTTATCACTCTTATGAGATTTTTACAGTCTGTATGTATCCGTAAGGTGCATGTGACCCTGCTTTGCATGTTTTCAAACCATTTAAAAATGTCCTTATGTCAGGCTTTTCCAGGGGAACATAAAGCAGAAAAGAGTGATGTTAGAGGGATAGGGAGGAACCCAGGGTACCAGACGCTAAAGACATGTCCAGTAAGACGAGAAACTGCCAAGGTACTGGACCTCACACCCAGGGGACCACTGGTTCCTCTGGGAGAGCGGCTGCAGGGGAGCAGACCCCAGACACAGCGGCTGAGCCGGACAGGGCAGCAAGGATGCAGAGAGAACTCCCTCTGGAGGCCTGGCTGTGAAGAGGAGAAGGCGGAAGCAGCGGTGGTGGCTTTCAAGCAGGAGGAGCTGAGGCTGTGCGAATGACAACAGAAGTCCACGGGAAAGGGAGCGGTGCCCGAGCAGGCGGGGAAAGCCAGCTGGCCGGGACCCGAGCCCAGCGGAGGGGGAGCAGCCCTCCCCCACTACAACAGGAGGAAGGAGGTGGAGAGGCGTGCAGATCAGTGGTCCTCAAGCTTGAATTCGAATGAGAGTCACCCGCAGGGTTTATTAACAGAGACTGCCGGGCCCACGCCTGGAGTTTCTGATTCTAGAAGCTTGGAGTTGGTCTGAGAATCTGCATCTCTAACAAGTTCCCAGGTGATGCTGACGCTATGGGTCCTGGGACCTCCCTCTGAGAACCACTGGTAAGAAAAGGTGTAGACGAGGTGACAGAAATGTGAGGAAGTTTCCAGGTTGTGCCTTTACTTTCTGGGAAATTGTAAGCGAGGCATGTGCTGAAAATGAGAGGGGCAGCGGTGAAGTGAAAGCGTGAGCAGAAAGCTCTCCAGCCGCTCTCTGGCTGTCCGCATTCTCCTCATCTCAGAGCGAGTACAGGTGAGGCTCTCACAGGTCATTCCTTAACCAGCTGGCAGCTGATTCAAGCTGCTTCAGGCCTGCACTCACCAAACATCAGGGGAGGCCTTGCGTGGGACGGCACAGTCAGGATGGGGAAGAAGCAGAAAGATGAGGTTTGGGGGAAGACGTTCCAGTTCCTTCCACCCTCCACTCAAGTTCCAGAATTCTTTGCCCTCAAGCAGTTCTACAAAAGCAGGGGATTCCGGGTACCTCGCAGGCCTTGATGTGCTCGCTCTGCCACTCTTCTCGGATCTTATCCAGCGCGTTGATGTGCAGCATGTACGCCTTGTCTGCAGTGGAGGGGAGGGGGCTGGGTTTAGAAACTAGATGGGATGGGGGTGCTCGCAGACCTACCCCCAGGCCCCTCCCAGAAGGCAAACGAGGCTTCTGGGAGCTCTGAGCGCTGGAAGGTCATAATTACATCTCACTCTCATCATATCTTTGTGAAACATAAGCAAAGGTGGGCATCAGTTTCTTTTTAAAGAAAATTTCTTTTTAACGAAAAGCCAAGCAACCAGCAAGAAATGCTCCAAGGAAAGAGAAGTGAAAGCTGACGAGGAACTTCAGCCTGGGTTTCCTTCCACCTCTGCGTTTTCAGGAAAATTATCTAACGAGGGAGGCAGAAAAGTGAACTATCAAGTTACTTCGGTTTTCAGTTTAGAGACTGAAGTGACCACAGTCGTGAGAGGCTCGTCTCCAGCAGGATATTCCAGGAATTAGAGGCCTCTGGTATTTCACGATTTCAGTGAGGACAAGGCCTCACAACTTGGCTGTTTCTTTCACAACACAGGTGAGTTATCAGGGCTGAAATGGGGTTTTAAGATGGTGTTTCCAATAAATCAGAGTGAGCACCTGATGACATTATAAAGTAGCTGTCACATGACCCCCACCCCCTCTTCAATCACAGGTCAGGCAGCAAGGTTCTAATGTACGCTCCCTTCCCCACTCCCTCTGTCCCTCTGTCCCACCCATCTTCCCTTCCGATACCTCAATCCTACAGTATACCCATATATTCATTATCAGAAGGTCTCTAAAACTGCCTTTCACAGATAGATTTGGGATCACGTAAGCCCCACCACAATCCTCCCCCTTCTGTGGGCCCAGCCCCCTCACCTGAGTCTTCCACTGCAGTCTTTGAAGTTGCCAGTTTCACAAAAAGCTGTCAGGACAAAAAAGTACAAGAGGTTGGAAATGCTGGGCCAGGCTTCTAAAGGCGAAGCAGATTTAAAAGCAATGATAATCACTCAATTCGCCTTCTAATCTTACACCATTGGCAAATATCCATCAAGCATCTTGCCCTATATCTTCCTAAAAACTTCGGATTGCTGACCATCTTATATCCAGGTTTTATAATATTAAATTGATAATATATCCAAAGCCTAGCTACAAAGAATAATGAACTGAGTTTTGAAGAAAGATGAAAACAGAAGAAGACTCCCCATCTCTTCTTATCACCCGACTCTCTCCCCTCAAGCCATGCCTCTCTAGTTCTTCCCCAATCCTAAAAACAGGACAAGGGTCTTTTCTGGCTCAGAGACTCTAACAGCCTGAAAGAGGATATTGCCAGGAGTTTGGAGTGCAAGCCCATTTTTATTAAGATAATTAATTGGCTTTA